AGATTTCATGGTCTTGCTAGTTTTTATAGAAAGTTTGTAAAGGATTTTAGCACCGTAGTTGCACCATTAACTGAAATCGTTAAGAAAAGTGTAGGTTTTAAATGGGGAAGGGACCAAGAAGTTGCTTTTAATTTGATTAAAGAAAAACTTAGTTTTGCACCTTTGCTTGCTTTGCCTAACTTTTCTCAAACTTTTAAAGTTGAGTGTGATGCCTCAGATATTGGAATTGGAGTTGTTTTAATGCAGGGAGGTCGTCCTTTAGCTTATTTCAGTGAGAAGCCAAATGGGGCAGCCTTGAATTACCTGACTTATGATAAGGAGCTTTATGTACTGGTGAGGGCGTTAGAGACTTGGCAACATTATCTTTGGGCCAAGGAGTTTTTCATCCACACTGATCATGAGTCTTTGAAACCACACTGATCATGAGTCTTTGAAACATTTGAAAGGTCAAGTTAAGCTGAATAAATGTCATGTTAAATGGGTTGAATTCATTGAGACATTCCCTTACGTTATCAAATACAAGATGGGAAAAGAGAATGTAGTTGCTGATGCTTTATCTTAAAGGTATGCTTTAGTTTCCACTTTAAATGCAAAATTGCTTGGTTTTGAGAACATTAAGGATTTATATGCTATTGATTCTGACTTTGCTAATGTGTTTGATGCTTGTGAGAGTTCGGATTTTGGTAAGTTTTATAGGCATGATGGGTACTTGTTTTGAGAGAATCGATTGTGTGTGCCTAATTGTTCGATACATGAGTGATTAGTTAGAGAAGCACATGAGAGTGGTTTAATGGGACACTTTGGTGTTAGGAAAACCTTAGATGTGTTAGTTGAACACTTTTTCTGGCCACATATGAAACAGGATGTTGAGCGAATTTGTGAGAAATGTGTTGCTTGTAAAAAGGCTAAGTCTAAGGTTCGGCCCCATGGTTTGTATAATCCCTTACCTATACCTAGTTCACCTTGGGTAGATATCTCCATGGATTTTGTGTTAGGTTTACCTAGGACAAAATGGGACAGGATTCTGTGTTTGTTGTTGTTGACATATTTTCAAAGATGACAAATTTCACTGTGTGTCATAAGGCCAATAATGCTAGCAATGTAGCTGATTTGTTCTTTAGAGAGGTGGTGTGTTTACATGGAGTGCCTCCGAGCATTGTGTCTAATCATGATGCTAAGTTTTTGAGCTATTTCTGGAAGACGTTGTGGGGTAAGCTTGATACTAAATTACTCTTTTTTACTACTTTCCATCCACAAACAGATGGGCAAACCGAGGTAACTAATTGTACTCTTTCTACTTTATTGCGTGCTGTCATTGGTAAGAATTTAAAAACTTGGGAGGATTGTTTGCCTCATGTTGAATTTGCTTATAATCGTAGTGTGCATTATGCTACTAATTATTCCCCTTTTGAAATTGTCTATGTTTTTAATCCTTTAACTCCATTAGATTTGATGGCTTTACTTGTTGATGAGTGTGCTAACTTAGATGGAGAACGAAAGGCTGAATTGGTGAAGCAAATGCATGAGAAAGTTAGATTGCACATTGAGAGGCAAACGAAACAATATGCTACTCAAGCTAATAAGGGGCGTAAGAAGGTGGTCTTTGAGCCTAGAGATTGGGTTTGGGTGCATATGCGAAAGGAGTGCTTTCCCGCACATAGGCGTTCTAAGTTGCAGCCTAGAGGAAATGGACCTTTTCAAGTGGTGGCATGAATAAATGATAACACTTACAAACTAGATTTTCCTGGTGAGTATAGTGTTAGTGCTACTTTAATGTTACTGATCTTTCTCCTTTTATTGCAGATGATGAAGATTCGAGGACGAATCCTTTTGAAGAGAGGGGGAATGATGCAATGCAATTTGATCCATTGAGCATAAATGGAGGTCCTTTGACTCGAGCAAGAGCAAAACGGATGAAGGAAACATTGAACAGGCTGATTCAAGACATATGGGCTGATTGTGCAAGTTCAAGCATGAGGCATGATCCACTTGGTCAACGAAGATCCATCAACATGATTCAAGTTCTAGGCTAAGTTTAAAATTGGTATGTTTACAATTGGTCTAATTGTAAGACTTTCCTTATCTATTTAGGCGTGTGAGTTATTCTTTTTTAGTAAAAAAAGACTTTCTTAGTTTAATTAGGCATGTGATCAGCATATTAAAGGGCTGATTGTGTTTTTCTCTTTTAGGAAAGTTAGAGTTTAGGAATGTAAGAGCTATTTCTTTACCAGCAAGTAAGACATATTTCTTTACCCACAAGTAAGAGATATTTCTTCACCAGCAAGTAACAGATATTTCTTAAATAGGATAAGCTAATTTTAGAAGTTTTCTTTGTAATAACCAGCCTATAAATACGCGTTCAAAGCATTGTAAAAGACATAATATTTTTATGAGTATTGTGATGTTTCTACCTTATTGTTCTTCCAAGAACTTATCAAGAATTAATCTTTCTTGTGGCATTCATCAACTTATCGCTTAATCTTGACTGTGGCGTCTTTCTCTAGAACTTTTAACCTTGGGTTCTTGTTTCTTGCAAACATTGGGTCTAGGGTTCTTGATTCTTATAAATTGATTTGTGAACTTTCTTGGGGAGTCTTCAATCAATTTGTCGTGGGTTCTTGAATTCGTTTATGGGTTCGCATCAGTATATGCTATGACATATTTAATAAATATTTTCAAATTAAAGAGTAGATGGGTAAAATTAAAATTAATTTATTTTCAGACATCAACTCTGTAATTATCAAACAGTTTAGTTCAATTTAGTAGTTAAATTTTAGTAAATATCAAACAATCCATAAATTCAGAATTTAGCTTTCAGCTTTTAGACTACAACTTTCAGATTTTCAGACTTCAGACATCAACTATCAATTTTATCAAACACCACCTAAAGCTTTGACCTGAAATTCTTCAAGTAGAATAACTAGAGTATTTACCTATTTTAAGTTAGGGGTGCAACTCAGGCGGGTTGGACAATCAACCCTAGGTATATAATCTTCAACTTTAACCCTAATTCTAATCCTAATCTTACCTCGGATTGATAGACTCAACCTAAGCACTGTCCGAGTTTAATTAGGGCGGGCTCGGATTGAATTCAGGTTAATAATTTCGGACTGATTTTGGGTTAATGTTCTATATCTGATACATATATTACATAATATTCAAATAATTTAACAACCAACAACTTTAATTAAATTTTTAACATAAAAATCATAATATTAATAACTCAATGCAACCACAACCATAAAGATTTTCCACTGTAGCAAGCAAGCAAGACATACAGCCAGATAATAACTTATTATTTACCAATGACAATAAATGCTTAAACAAAAATATTTCCAATTCAAAATTCAACCATATGCATAAACAACATAATCAAAATGTCATATGAAACTTTCTGTTTTGACAGCATATTCATGTTATTATGACAACAAATGCCATATAAACAGCGTATCTATGTTATTATGAAACTTTATGTTTTGACAAAAAACGGACAAAAATTTTAATGTCATAGTAAGTTGGAAAAGAGGCGAAGTAAATTGCATCAGAGAGTGAAAAGAGGTCCAAAAATTTACTCTGAAAATGTGAAAATAAAAATGAAAATCGCATACCTGATGAAGACGAATGAGGCTGCTTTGATCTGCTCTGAGAGAGAGAGGCGAAGACGAAGGAGGCTGAAGGGGGCTGATCTAGTGAGAGTGAGAGACCGAGAAAGACTGAGAGTGAGAGATAATTCTGATCTAAGGGTGAGAATGAGAGACTGAGAGTGAATGAGGGTTAAGGGAGGCGTAGACTGAGTTGAGATTAACCCTAATGTAGATTTCCAAATTGTATTTATATAATATTAATTCGTGTTGAACCCGATGGCTCAACCCGAAGCCCGCCCAAATTGAATTCGGGTTGGTATTTTTTGACCCATGCCTAACCCAAGTATTAAAAACCCTACCCCAAACCCTAATTTTTTTGAGTTGAACTTGGGTTGAAATCGGGTTGCCCAACCAAAGTTGCACCCCTATCTTGAGTGCAAAATTTATGTATATATATATATATCTATTTATATCTATATTACTTATAAATATTAGCATTTACGAAAAACTTTTTATTTGATTTCTTATTTTATCCCTAATTATTATAATAAAGTCAATTATACGCACCTATATGTTTTTATCTAATTTTTGTTTTTTTTACTCTTATTTGGCTTTCAACTTGTTTTGGACTCTTTTATAAAGACTTCTAAATTTTTTTAGCTCATTTTTAAGTAATACAGTTATATACAATATTTTATATCTATATGAATAAATAAAGTCTTGAACATATTAAATTATTATACACATGTAGTTATCAAATTATATTCCACAGTCAAATATATGTTATATTTTATTTTTTAGTAGGCAATAATATAACAATATTATAAACGATCTAATTAATCTATTTAACTAAATAAAAATTAATAATTCTATAATATAATTAGCTACAAACGCCTAAACAAAATGACATATTAAGTACTAAAAAAAAGTACTCAAAGACTTATAGAATAAATTAATAATTAAATTTAATAATAATAAAAATATGAATTAATTATTCAACATCAAGTTTATTATTTAATTTAATTACACATATAATTCACTGTTTTTTATAAAAATTATTATTTAAATTTATTTAAATGGATGAAAGACGAATTTGGTTATTAGATCTGGTTAGATTTCATGAAATTATAAATTCCTCCCCACTGTTTAGTAATTTAATTTTTAAACCCAGAACTTTTAGCTAAAGTCTACACTATTACTTCCTCAAAGTTTCAAATGCTGGTCTGGGTCTCACCAAATTTGTAGAGATGACCAGTCTGCGTCCTCTTTTCCTATTGTCGTGGCTCTTTGAATTTGAATTAAAGTAGACTATAAAATTCAAATATTGCCACAACTAAAAGAGGACTTTTTTTTTTTTTTTTTTTTTTCTGTTTTTACTTGCTGTAAATTTGAGAATTTTGAGCTTAGATGCTAATGCCTTCATCTAATTAACAGCAACAGCTAGTTACCTCCAGTTTTGCGAGTTCTTCTCTCTGCCTGAGGAAGTAACCAACCACACATGAAGCTGATTGCGACGACGGTAATAAAGCCTACAATAGCTCCAAATCCAAAGGGCAATCCCATAATTGACTCCCAAGCTCCTTCTGGTGATTTTCCAAGAGTTATTGTAGGATCTTCTCGGGAAGCAGATGAACATGGTAATGACGGAGGTCCACAAAGACCCTTGTTCCCTTCAAAGCTTGAATCAGGAAATGTGAGAAACTGACCTCCAGAAGGGATTACTCCGGATAATTGATTAAAAGCAACACTGAATTTCGAAAGAAAGCTGAGAAATGTCAATGAAGGCGGTATGGTTCCGGAGAGATTGTTGTGGGACAAATCCAATGTCTCCAAGTTCGTCATCTCAGACAAAGTACTCGGAATATATCCTGATAGACTGTTATTCTTAAGATCCAACACATGAAGTAACTTCAAATTTCCCAACTCTGGCAAGATCGGACCAGTGAGCAAATTGGAGCTCAGGTATAAAGATGGTGGAAAGCTCCAAATCTGATTGTACCGCAATCCAAGTCCAGTTTGGTTTATCTTGAAGCAGAATAGTAAATCTTGAGATGAATCTGATGACAAGTTCCTAAAAATAAGGCTTTGTAGCTTAGTCAAGCCTGTTGGGATCTCCCCAGACAGTGAGTTGTTTGACAAATCCAAGTAGAAAAGAAATTTTAACTTGCCAAACAAATCTGGAATTTTTCCACTTAAACGATTCCACGATAGATCCAAGAGCTGTAGCTTGGTGCAACCACTCAACCAGGCTGGGACCGAACCAATCAGCTGGCAATTTGCTATTACAAGAGTGTTCAGCTTGTTGAATTGCAGGTTGAAATCAACAGGGATTGCTTCATTATGAAAGTTTGAGGTAAGAACTAAAATGGTCAAGTTCCTGCAGTGTTGTAGGATCTCTAGAGCTGCTGATAAATTGTGTAGTCCTGTTTTATAGAGCGTTAGGTGAGACAGAGACTTGAGGTTCTTGAAGCTATCGGGTAATTGGCCGCAAAGTTTGTTCTGGGCAAGATCTAAGCTTCTTAATCGTGGACAGTTAGCGAGGTTATCAGGAATGGGACCGTTGAATCTATTAGAACTAAGACCAAGGTTGATCAAACCAACCATAGCAGAGCAATTGAGAACAATCTGGCCGTTGAGAGAATTATTGCTAAGGTTGAGCCCGGAGATGGTGGGTGAGTTGGATAACGAGGCTGGCAACTGACCAGTAAATCTGTTTGAACCGGCGTAAAATTGTTCAAGTTTTCTAAGATTTTGGAAAACATCTGGGAGAATTCCTGAAAATCCATTGCGAGAGATATCCACTTTTATAAGAGTTGAGAGATTACCAAAATCAAGACCAAGAGGCCCAGAAATGTTATTATTCTGAAGATTTAAGTGGCTCAACCTTGGGAAACGAAAGAGATCTTCAGGCAAGTTCCCTGCAAGAAGATTGGAACTGAGGGAGAGATTTTCCAGGAGTCTGCAATTCCCAGAAGGTGCTGGAATTTCTCCAGTGAAATAATTCATGGAGAGATCCAAAACTTGTAATCCTTTTGCAGTTTCACAGATACCCCCGTTGATCAAACCGTTTAACAAATTTCGAGACATATCGAGGTACCTGAGAGAAGGTAGGTTGATCTCCATGGGCAACACTCCTGATAAACCATTAGAGCTCAAGTCAAGGACCTCCAAATTCTCCAGTTGAAACAGCTCTATTGGAAGAGAACTCCTAAAGTAATTATGAGAAAGATTGAGAGTTCTCAACTGAATCAAACCAGCCAAGGACTTGGAAAGAGTACCTTGCAATCGTTTATTTCCAAGCACTATGCTCACTACCCTTAATGAAAAGCTTGCATCATCCCTAACCGGTGTTGGAGACTCACAACTTACACCTTCCCAAGAACAACAATCAGAAGAGTTCTTGCTCCAACCATCAATCTGATATTCCAAGCCTTCTAAAAAACCTTCCAGTGCTCTTAAGTCATCAGAATCGCAGGGCAGATTGAGAGAACTTGTGTATGGTGCCAGAAAGCAAGAACCCAGAAAAGCGACCACAACCAAGATAGTCAACATTTCAGGTCTTCTACAAATGAAGCTAATGGCAATAATGTTAGTTTGAGAAAAATTCTGTTATTTCGAGTGTTGAATTTAAGGGGGATAGCAATAATCTTAATTGAAATGGGTATCTCTTTACTAGTAACGAGATACTTGAATTTCAATTACCATAGTAATTATCTCATATTTAGTATTTGATTATTGTAAGAATTAATGTCATTACTATATTGTTTTAGGAAATAATATAATTTTAGAAAAGAGATTGATTTTGGAAGGAGAATTTAATTTTTGAAATGAAAATAATTTTAGGAAGGAGTTTCATATTGTGACTTTTATTATTTTTATAGAATACTCAATCAATGTAGGTACGAGATTATCACAATTGACCATGGGTTTATGCTACCTACCATTATTTGGAAATAAATTATGATAGTAATTTTATTCCCGAATTAGATTACTGAATAATTAACTCTTTAAACATGATAATTTAGAATTTAGGAATGAGAATCTTATCCACAAAGCTCTAATATTCCTATTTGAAACTCAAACTAACCTAAAAATTTTAATTTGTTGGTACTGAGCCCAAGTTTGGAGACCCTTGATCATCCTTCTTTGAACTTGAAATGGTCAAGAAAATCGATCTTTGTAGTATTAGGACACCGTTACTTTTTTTTTTTTGTATCTGATTGTGTAAAATACCGAGAAATATGAGAGTGAGTAAGATGTCATTTTAGTGGGTCGAGCAACTTGCTAAGTGGATTGAGCTGTGAACTAAAGTAAATAGAAATGCACAACAACAGAGTGATTTTTTCCTTTTGAAGAGCAGAATTCGTCCATGTAAGGGAGACTCTTGCTTTTGATTTTTTGTATTTTTGGCGGAAGAAGATGATTACAGTAGGCCTGGATACGAGACCTCTTACCCAAGGTATTACGTGGTCATGTAAAAACGGTGACTCCTTGTCCTAGGTAGGGTTTAATGGTAAAATTACTCCTTTTCCCTTCCAGGTAGGCCCAGGTTGTGGGCTAGTCTTAATTGGTGGTCTAGCCTCAGAGTTGTGTGGTGTATCTAGGTCAGCTCGCCTACATAATGTAGACACCCTTCCTGACCCGATCCGTCCATTTTATTTCTGGCGTCATCAGTATCGTTGATGATGGTATTTTTTACGCGGCTGAGCAGAGGTGAATTTGGGGGTTGTGGATGTTTAAAGGGAATTATGGGATATTTCAAAGCTCTTGGGGGTTGAACAATCAAATAACAACGAATAAATATCAGTAGACAAAGTGTTTATAATAGTTTACTAGCTCGAAAGTTAGGCTAATTCACTCTAATAGAGTCGCTTGTTCCTGAAAAATTTTCTACTTTTGGGAGATTAAGGAGATTACATAGAGAAAAAACATAGATGCTTGCTTGATTACAAACAAGAGGATTTGACCCTCATTTATAGTATACAGCTGCCTTCCGTGACCATTGCGATCTTCCCGTAATCAATGTCATCCTTGCGTAATTGACGTGATCCTGTTGAGATAGTTGTGACCCATGTGTCAAAATATTTTGCCATTGAGGGTTACATTCTATAGGCGTGATGTGATATTCTAGAAGGTGTCAACTATCGCTTTGACTGTGTGCATAAGGATCACGTCGGTGATTATTTACAACCTGCTCCTCTTTGACTAAAGTTCATGGGTTGAGAAGTCCGAACTGAGATATCCGAATTAAGAGGTCTGAGCTTAACCTTAACTAATTTTTGGTATCATAAGTCATAATGATACTTTGATATCTCAACACTGTTCGACTTGCACCGTAATGAACCAGCCCCATCTTCTTTGAAAAGTGCGGTTGATGTTGGTTTGTGCAAGCTCATATTATAGTCCTATGGACTGCACTTTTAGAGGTGGAGATAGAAGGAAAATGATGTCTTTGAACGATAACGGTTGCACCTCTGGCTGTCCTTGGTGTTATCTGCGAAACTTCTTTCCATGCAACATCTTTAAATTGTTAATTGGCCTATCAGTCCAGAAAGCGAGGTCCACTAGGTACCAACTATTCAAACAGCACACCAACTACACACCAACTACACATTGACTAAGGACTATTTTTGTATTCTTTATTTGGTGGGTAGGACTAAGGGAAATTTATACTCAAATTGCACTTAGAATTAAATGTCAAGTGCATCATACTTGACTAGAAGGGAGACCAAGCATGAGAAAAATTAAGGATACGAGGGAGACTATTTGTTGAGTCAGCATTAGTGACTGATGGAGGAAAATTTATCTTAAGGTAAAAAGTTGGGTCTCGCTAGTTCTGTGTTGTGCTCCCTTCAATAAAAGCGGCCCGGTCCTGTCCACCCCATTCCTTCTTCTTCATTCCATCCTAGTAGTTCGATCGAAGTCCTAATTTGGGACAAGATGAAACTTAGATGAGATAAATCTCATTGGGCAAATAAGGATTAATAGCCAAATTCGGATTGTGACTTGATCCTAATCCAACTAAGATTGATTCTCATTCCATAGCGCAATCAAATGGTTGAAACCCTTACAAAAGAGCACCAAGACGACGCATCAATTATTAGCTTCCAAAGCGTTGAATTCCTTAAACAAAAAAAAAATTTAGCAATAACCCATCAAATATTTGTTTTGTGTCACTTGAGTCTAATTGCAAACGATGACTTGAATTGCCTAATGAAAGTGGTCGCATGCATCTCACGTGACCATGGTTGAGAAATCACTTTAGTCATAAGCTTTTTTTATTTGTGTCACATTAACCCTAATTTTTTTTTCTCACTTTTGGTTGCTTAGTTTTATAATTTGTGTCCTTTTAGCACTCATTCTTTCAAGAAGCACAATTTAAATTACACTTTTTGATTGGATAAACATAATACTAATTGAAAATATTAAGTTTTAAATTGACAAAAAAAAATAAAAGAATGAGCATCGACATCAAGGGGGAGCCGCATAGGGAGGAGGGGGGCACTTGCCCCCATTGAGTTTTTGAATCATTCTATATAATTTTGGACTAATATGCACTGTCGTCAATTATTTTTACAAAAATACTTTAATACTCATGCCAATTCATTTTTAATTAATGAATAAAAATCAGCCCACCCCCAGCTCCCTGCCTACCCCACCCCCAACTCCGGCCGGTGGCCATCACCGGTGAAGATTTATGAGTTTATGTGTTAGATTTGGGAATATTGTAATCATGAGATTGTGGGTTTAGTCTTGGCCTTTGGAGTACAGCGAACATCTGTTAGTGTAATAGTTAGGACGGCTTTTCATTAATAGTGGTGTGGCCATGGAGGAAGCTTCCAAATTCAAATAGTATTGTTGCTGTTGGAGGTCTTGCTGGGTTGTTGGCTACATTGAGACATAAGAATGGTGGTTTGGAGGTTGACAATGTTTCTGAAGGTGTTGAGACAACACTGACCAGAGAATAACCGAAAGTGCATCAAGAAACGATGAAGAGGGAATTTGATTCCCGCTTGAACGATGGCCTTGGTATAGAAGGCCATCGATTCAACCGAACCTATAGAATAACTATGAAGAAGGGGGTTAAATTCAGTCACAGTAATGCCGAAGGGAATCGAGTAATGGGCCTTGAAGTTGCCTATCTATTGAGCCCCCTTCACCTAATATTTCCTCAGCCTGGACTCTCAAGGTCCATTGTCGCCGAGGACAGTGATTCTACGGATCCTAGCTATAGGGGGCTCTAGCAATGAAGGGCACAAAGGGAGACGAAAACGAAGATGAGAGGAGAACAAAAAGGAAAAATGCATAAAAAAAAAAGACAGTGAAGAGAACTTACAAATTCACAGGCAATGACTCAGGGCCAACTCGAAGGTCTCGAAACACCAGAAAATCGAACGACAGGTTATCCTTACGAGGAAGAAGAGGGTATGGATATGCACAAAAAATGCAAAGAGGCTTAAGGTAGCAAGTTTTAGAAGGTCAAGTAAATGGAAACAAGTGAGAAAAGGTCTTCATACAAAAGGAAGAGGTTATGATTTTGCTCAGAACACGAAGATGCTCCATTAAATTTTGGATTCAAAATCGATGATAGGAATACGACACGATAGTTTCCAAAAAAATCGTCATAAGGAAGCCTTTCACGTTCGCACGACGCGTGTCCTCTGCCATACAAAAATCAAACATTGGGGAACAGTTGACAAGAAGTGGCATGTCAGACCAATCAGACAATTGGCGTACTCAGCCAACAACCGTAGAACTAAAGATAACTCGGGCCTTAGAGGATGATCTCAAAAGAAAGGATTTCCTCGGCAATCGTGTGAAACCTAACGAGTATTAGAACTTCCTTGGCATTATCATAAATGCCGATGAAGAATCTGCATTGCTGAACCAAAGAACATTGGCACCAAGAAGACTGACATTGGCACGAACGAGACCGAGTGGTGTAGGAGTGATTGACCTTGTGCGCCGACCATGTGTCAGTCGGTGAAATGGGAGGTAGTTATCAATGAGTAAACCTGCATTGGTCGAAGTGCCCACCCGGGAGTAAACAAAGAAATATCTTCCGAATATCCGTGCCTGGCTGCAGTAGGCATGGGTCCACCATCCCAAGTGCTCAGACTAGGTAGGATGGTATACTGTAGCCAATCATGAGAGGCCGTTGAAAGCGTAATAAATGCCCCTAATGAACATGCGACAAGTGCCTGAGAAATACTAAATGCTGGGGGGGATATACTGGGAAAGTAATAAATTCTCGGTTTGTTACGTTGCACCGAGTATTTATTCTTGTAGAGCGTGGCATCAGGCATCGAGTTTCACAGTAAATGCTTGGTGTGAATTTTAATGATCTGTGTGAGCTTAGATGCTGATGGATTAATGCCATTAACATGCATGCAAGAAATAAAGGATCGAGCTATAGCAGACACTCTGCTCGATGTCTATCTACCTTATCAGATCAAAGAAACATTTCTGTTGTTGTGAGCCAATCTGGGGCCCTCCCGCTAAAGGGGCTACCTGGATGTTCTTAATAACCATGTTCATCTACCAAAAAAAAG